GAGAGAGAGAGAGAGAGAGAGAGAGAGAGAGAGAGAGAGAGAGAGAGAGAGAGAGAACAGAGAATAAGAGATTTCAATATATCAGTATCGTATATCACGTGTATACCAATGTTTGTATTCTGTAACTCACAACGACAATTCGTTATCGTTATATTGTCATAGCGCAGCTTTTTTTTTTACCATATATAATAACATACATACGCAAATGACAATACAACGATACCGACAATGTCGTTAAGAGTTACAGTTACAAAATAACATACTCCGATTTCGTGTAACTTCTAACGACAGTACCGGTATCGTTATATTCTCGTTGGGCAGATATAGAAAACATACATAGAAAGAAAACCTGCGTAGCAATCTAACGAATTGTCATTAAAGCACTAAAGAACCAGAGTACGCAACCAGAAATACACGGTTTCGGATCGATCGAAATCTATTACGCCCTATTCTTATTGCCTCTGCTTTTCCATCGTACCTCGGGCTTTAGACTTTAACGTCGCGCTAAGATAATAGGAACACCTCGTAGAGTCTCGTGGAAGACTGGCGCCGGTTGTTCACCGCGCAAAGACATATTTAGCCATGCAAAGTAGCTCTTGTGGGAGGCCGCGGACGAGCACCGCGAACGACGTCGCGACGAAGGTCGACGCAGAAACTCTCGCGCGAGAAGAGGCGGCGGAACATTCGGTGCTGTTTTCCAGTACGAGACAAGTGATCAATTCATCTTTGTTTGACAGTGGCAAACAATAAGAGTGCAGTGATTCACTGTATTACACTGCGTCATCTGTCTCTTACCGGAAAACACCCATTAGTTTGCTTTCCATTTACACTAAAACTCAAATAGTTCTAATTTGCGACGTCATAACTCAGTTGAATGCACGTTCCTTTTCATTCCGACAAGATTCAACTAAGTTTTTTTTTCCCAAAATTTGCACAGGTAGACGACCATGTGCTTCAATGAATCTTGTTAACTCTCACATCAAAAAAGTGATAAAATATTATTATCCTGTGTTGTCACGCGATAATTTTGTCAGTCAAAGTAGTCTTAAGATACTGAACAGCTTTGCGATTGGCTTACGATATCTTACTGTGCTCAAAGCGGCGTCTACAATGAGAATTTAGAGTGTAAAACTTAAGCTTAAGCCTTGAGTCGCGTAAGAAATTGGCCAATCACAGTCGAATGTGAGAACAATCGACTACAATTGGTCGATTTCTTACGACCTTAGAATCAGTGTCGTTTATCAGTATGCGATAAGCTTACGGTGTAAGTGTAAAACTTCTTACACCTTATACTTCTTACACCGCGAGCTTACTCCGCATCTGTAGACGACGCACAAAGCTGAAGTTTCATGTTTAAAATCTGCTTGTAGACACGTCGCTTGAAACGATTTTAAATATAAAACTATACGAATACTGATCTCAGCCTCAGGTGTATCGCTTGTGCGAAAATGAGAAGCAACTATCACACACGCAACCGCGTCGTGTCGTTCGAGTTGAGGTTATGGCCGCTCCGTTCGGCTCCGCGGCCGCCTTTTCGAGAGGGAGCTAGCCGTAATAGCGCCACGGCAGTTACTATACTTTCACGGAGCGAGAGCGAAATTCCCAGCCGCGTTCTCCGACGGCGCCGCACCGCCTCGACGCCGACGATTATCGCGATGCCGATCGATTAGGATCGCGGGGAAAGAAGCCAGCCGATTAGGCCGAGCGAGGGGAAGATCGATCCTCGCACCTCGGCGAACAGGACACGCTCCTCCGTTATTACGCGTCAATGCGGAGACACGCGTATACGAGACGTGTTCTACGACGCAGTACGTTTGCCGCAAGAGATCGATAGCCGGTTCTCGGCTCGCTCGACTCGAGTTTCCCACGAGTGCACCGATAAGCGGACGCGCGAACGAACGAACGTGTGGCGATCTAGAAGCGTCGACGGCGGTTGCCAATGCCGGCGGCGATTCGGTCACGCAGGAAGTGACGAGTGCGTGGAAGAAGCGGCCCAACCGACCTGCGCGTTTATAGCATGCGGCTTGAGAAGGAGCGAGCGAGACGGAGGGCGCGGAAGCGTACGAGCAGGAGGGACTCACACGTTAAACGAAGACGGCGCCAGGCATGTGGAGAGAGAGAGAGAGAGAGAGAGAGAGAGAGAGAGAGAGAGAGAGAGAGAGAGGGAAAAAAAGGATCACAAATTGCGTCGCAGATCCCGCGACTTTGCACCTACCTATGGCTTACAGTCCTTTGTACAATTAATAATGGAGTAAATACACGATCTGTGCGTAGATCCGTGCACCGGCTCGAGTCCAGACGAGCGCGCGGAAGAGGAACGGCGAAGGAACGTTTTTGCGTGCGCCGCGCGATAAACGACGAGAGTTCGCGGACTATACTCCAAACTCCTCGGGAGAGATTTTCCCTTTTTTTTTCTCCTCTTCCTCTTCTTCCTTCCCCTCGGACAGCCGGAGGGAGCACGCGCGCGCGAGGTGGACGAACGAGAGGGAGAGAGAGAGAGAGAGAGAGAGCGTGGACTAAACGCGAACGAGAGAACAACTAAAACGCCGGGCCCTTTATTCCTCGATCACACTCGCGGTTACGATGCCACACATCCCTCGGCGACCACTCCCGCACAACGACTGAGCCGGCAACGCCGCCCGTGGTGGGGAACTCGGCTCGCCTCGTGCCGGGGCTCGGCCCCACTCGGCGGCGCTCGGCCGCGTCCGCCGTGCCTCGTGTCGGAGCCGAAGTATTGATCGGCTCGCGGCCCCGGCATGGCCGACGAGGTTGGGTGGGGCAGCGTGGAGCGGCGCACGGCCGTGTGTCCCGGGACCGATCCGACGTGTCGCGTCGCACCACGCGCTACCACGACGGGCGACGGCGACGACTACGACGAAGTCTTTTTCCTTGCCTTTTCTTTTCTTTTTTTTTTCTTTTTTTTTTTCCTCTTCTATCCCTATACGTTCTTTCGATCACCCCGATTCACTTCCTGCGTCTCGCTCGCTTTAAATCCGATTCATTTCTCTTTCCTTCCCTTCGTCGTCGAAATTATACCAGTCCTCAGCTTTACGCCTCGTCTTTTCTCTCGCTCCCACTCATTCTCTGAACCTGTTAAACGTATACCACACGTGTCCTCTGGTCTCGAACTATCTTATTAGTTCGCGTTTCCTCTGTCTATACCTTTCTGCTCTACTCTATGTCGGTTCGGAAACCCTGCGTAATTTCGTACGAAATTAACCTGGAAAAAAAGAGACCTCTTTTTTTCTTCTCTCTCTCTCTCTCTCTCTCTCTCTCTCTCTCTTTCTCTCTCGGAGCGTTTTTCCCGTTCCCGAGAAATTTCCGCGAAAAACTGTACTTAATCGTTACAGAGATATGCTGCAATTACCGTAGGAAATTGCTATTTTATCATTTTCTGAATTGAAATGTGTCAATATTTTTCCTTATTTTTCTACTCATACAATATGTATACATTTATATTATTCTTTATACATATGTATATAAAGAATAAGAATAGAAATATCGACTTGTCACACACATTCTAAAATTTCATAACTTTTTCCTGATTTCGACATAAAATTTCACACTTTTCTCTTCGATGATTTTAATATTTTGAAATTTTTTTGTAGTTTCTGATTTGGAAATAATTAAATATTTTGTTGAGAGAGCAATTTAACATAATAATGTAAATTATATTATATCATTATATATATCCATTTACAAAAATACTGTGTGGTTGTGCAGGATGTTCGGAACGAAGACGAGCGAAAACAATTTTTTACTTGAAAGGAGGAATGGTCTAAACTAAATGCGTTGAATAGACGAAAGAGAAATCTCCAGATTACCATAAAAGCCCTTTCGCCTTTTTCAGGATCGTTGAACCATACCTCTTTTTCGCGGTAAATCAAAGGGATCCCACGGAACGGCGGGATTCCTCGTCGCCGTCAACGACCGGGCTTCTCGAAGTTCATAAAAAAGGAAAGATTTGAATTATAGCGTTTTCATTACGTTTACTTTCGCAAAATTTCAAAGTTTCTGAATAGAGAACGACGCGACGACGTCTCAAATTTAATTCGCAATAGAAAGCCGAAGAATTTATGAATGACAATATTTAGTTTGTAGATATTGCGATCTATGACACGCGAAGAATGCGTGATCAGAAGAGTATTCTATAAATCCAAGGATCTGTAAGTCTAAGGAAGCCAAAGATACACAAATATACCGGTTCAAGGAATCCTCGATGCTCTCATTCATTCGTGTATCACATTTCGACGCGTAATATAAGTCCAATTTGCGCCTGGCTTATCCAACTGCGAAAATAATTACTGTTTATCAGTGAATAAAAACATTTTATATTTGTGTTGATTCTTATTAAAATTTTTGTGTTAAATTTTAACACGTCCGACTATCATTTTAATATAAATTTAATATAACGTTATTATATTATATTATTTTAATATTTTGAGTTAAATTAACATTTAATATTGTTTAGTATTAAAATGACAAAACTTATAAGTGAACAACATTAAAAAATGGTGTATTTTAAAACGTACACTCTAAAATAAAAAATATATGTTAATTAACATATTATAAACATTGAAAAAGTATGTTTCTGCAATTTATACTTTTAAATTATCATATTTTTGTGTTAATTTTTTTACAAAATATATACGTTAATTTTTAACACAGTCTTGCGTTCAATTAATACATAGTAAAAAATTAGGACACGTTAAATATATTAATTTAGTATAAATTTTTTAACTGTGTACTCTCGAAACTCTTTAGAATGGAATCTCGCTCGCTCTGAAAAGAGTGAAAATTGAGCAATTCTTGAAAAAGTGTGGCTAGATTTTCAATTTTTAGGAGTGAGACTTTACTCTTCAGAAAAAAATTTACTCTAAAAGTTTTAGAAAGAGTATCAATTGAAGGAAACTTCAGTTCCCCCTATACATTTAAGATTTAGCACGAGGATGAATCCGAGGATCGCCAATCGAGGAGGCTGTTGATTCACCGTTCTCTACGTCCACATGGAGGGTCAAATACGTCCGAATCTGCGCTCTGAATGAACGTAAAGCCTGTATCAGATTACTTAAAAATCGATCCGTAACAACAGGAACAAGCTAAAAAGAACAACATACAACTCCTTAGGACCCACTATAAAACTTCTGTTATTATTATTGAAAAAAAGTGGTTGCATTAATTGGAACTCTGATTGAAAATGGATAAATCAGAATTTTCTGGTTCAGATAACCAGAATTTTGACTGATAATCAGAATCTTCTGGTTTGTTCATTTTCAAACATTTTTCTTAGTGTAATTTCATTATATTTTTATAAAATTTTTCAAGTTCAGAATTATGAAAAATAAGATTGTGCAACAGAATGATTTCGAATTATTATTATGTAAAAATTAAAGAAAAAAATCTTCAGATCAACAGGATCTATATATTCGAGTTATCACCCAATGTAAGATTAAACTTTAACCTCAGTTCAATTTACTCTTATCTGTTTCTAACTCTGATGCCAATTTCTACCAAAGTAGATCAACTTTAATCTCTTTTTAACTTATTTTTCATCTTTTTGATTTTTGAAATTGGAAAAAGGTGAAGTGTTCATTGAATCGAGATAAAAATTAAACTAACTTACGAATTAAAGATTAGAATTCGACTGGTCAGAACGAACAAAAATTAAAATTAAATTTATGAAATTAATCGAATTCTAGTCTCCATTTCGCGATTATCAATCTCCAATGCGTGAACTGACACGGGTTCAACATCAACAGTTTCAATCGAACAATAATCCCTGGATACCTATACGATATCGCGCGATTAACACGAAGTGACATTACGTTTTCTCATGAAAATTTAAATGGAACGTGTATCTCGTTTACTCGACCCAATGCTAGATAAATGGTAACGGTCGCGTAAATAAATCGTGGGCGTATATGAGGAATAACACTCGCGTTACTCCTCGCTCAATATCCAAACATCAGTATGCATTAGCGACAAATTCGATCTTGCATCCCGTAAAATTTCGCGCACACGCCGACAAATTGCATCCGTAATTCCATCTGTGGGATAAATTAGATCTTTCTTTAAAACGTGGAGCCGTTTCCACCAATGTTTATATTTGGAAATTAGCAATTCGCATTTGACGAGTACTTCAATATAAATTACGTGTATATGTTACGTCTTTTAATCGTATGGAGGTAAATCTCTTCACCTTTAACCGGTACAGTAAAATTTCCCATCCCGTTTCGCATCTTAGACTATTAAAGGTCACAGTATATTCTTTTATTGTTCTGGAGCGTGTAAAAATCTAGAAAAAAAAATTCTTTAATGGTCTAAGATGCGAAACAGGATGGAAAATTGTTAATATATATAACAAAAACTGTGTGTACATATAGATATAAAAATTATTTTCCACAATTAAAGTATAAACGATAATGCAGTCCAAACCGGTCGATTTTATTCCAAGAATGAGAAAAAGTTGAAGATTACAGCTTTTATCAACTTTTGGCGTCAACTCGTAACGTGTGCTTTATGTAAAAGTGTACTTTGTACGTATAAACCAATTTTGAATAATTAAAGATTACATAAATAAATAATATTGAGTTCTTAAAGTTAGACTTAGATAACTAAAATATAAAAGATTTAGTTAGAAATTTTATACAAATGCGTGCAACATTGAGGTAGTAGAATGTAGTGAAATGTTAATGATACGTAAATCGTGTATATGTAAAGATCCTATTGAATCGTTAAAACAGACAACTGTAGGATCCCTTAAAAGTCCCAGTGTGCCTGTGAAGGGTTAATATATATTTCACGTCCCACACACAACCTCTCGTATTTTCTGCGCGCATATCTATATACATTCTCTATTCTGCGTAGAACATTAATCACATTTTCGTAATTTTCGTTTATTAAATAGATATCTTTACTTTCACTTTCTCATATCTAATTTCAGAGCGCAGCCTCTATCTCGTGATATTTTCACTTTAATTAACAGTTGGTTCTGTGATTATTATAATAATGTATATAACGTTATTATTTATAATTCACGTACTTCAGTTAATATCTATGTTATTAACGTGCGTTTTGTAATTTCATTTATGTGGGAGTAATTATATTTCAGAATATACTGTTTCTCCCGAGAAATTCTACTTTGTGATTCTTGTCTCCATATTTGTTGAAACAAGTGTGTTCGATGCGTCGGCGTATATTTACGTCCCCCCCCCCCCCCCCTCAAAGGTTATTCATCAATTTTTTCTCGAAAACCAGCAGTGAGTGTCGAATAAAACAACAGTTTTTGTTTATTTAAACGCAAATAGTATAGCGTATGTTCGCATCTAAAAATTTGTATCAACCTTCTTTTTTGAAACGTAAATAATTTACGTTTCAAAATGTAAAAAAATTATTAATTAAAACTTTATAGTACCCGTAGCTTCGTGTAATTATATTTTTGTAACGATATCCGAATGTATCTGCAAATGTATGTGTTAGCTCTGTTTAAAGTTTCCATATTTACAAGCTCGTGAATTTTGTTTATTCAGACAAAAGCTGGCTTCCATTGAATTCTTTTTAATATAATTCGATTAATATTAATATTTAATCTCGCTATAACATTAATACAAATCTCTTTATTGTAACAGCATCTCTTTCATTATAAAATGTTAATAAACAATAAAAACTCAACAAAATATAAATTTTATAAAATATACATACACACTTTCAGAACAAATTACGATTCTAATTTCACAGTCAATTAGAAACGTACCTATCTGCGAGTTAATATGTATATTTATTTTAAAATTCATATATTTTATCGTTAATGTTTATTTTTCATTATTAACACAGATTATAATTAAAAAATGTTGCTTTTGTCAATTTATATATTTTGTGTTGATTTTTGTCATTATTAACAGATTAAAATGAAAAGATATTACATTTCTAACAATTACATTTGTACCTGAAAAAAAGTAAAAAGAGATTGCCAGCGCTAATGGAAAAACTGACGCATCGCGAGTGTAATTTTTAATTACACGAGAACTCATGACATGTCGGAAAACTCGTGTCGTGCTCCATTGCGATATGTCAAGGGCTATTATCGAGGGTACGGAAACAACGTTGGAATACGTATGCTGAAAAACCGCAGACTGTATGGGGCGCGCACCGTTGGAGTTGCCAGCATGCGAGAGAAGTGCGAACGAGAGCACTTTTGTCCGGCCTCCTCCCTCGCGTCTCCTTACCGTCTCCGTCCGGTCCGCGTGCACGCCAGGCCCGTGCGCGGGCACCGCATCGAATGAATAACTGAAACAATGCAGGAGCGAAAGCGAGGCGCAGTACCGTGGCGCTCTCGTAACATCGATCGTAAAATTACAATTGGGTTAAAGCCGGCGTCGCTTGTCTTAGTGGTAGGGAAGCGAAGGACCGGATCC